CTAATATTACATTTGATCTACAGAAAAAAAAAATATTGTGGTACATAGGGGTGGCGGTGGAGGAAGAGAATGTGAAATATAAAATAAGAATACATACAAAGATATTCACTTTGAGACAAAGTGCAATATGGAGGAAAAGGTAGTATTGTTCATAGCTGGTAAAACAGTATTCAACACCATGTCTGACTTAAGCATAGAGTACTTGCTGGCAAAGGGCAGTTTGGAAGAGGCTGCCATGTGTTGCTGATTATATTGATTCTCTATATTTAAAAGTATATAAAAAGAAAGCTAAAATTAATGCTCAGCAGTATGATGGTGAGAGTATTGATACTGCTATAGAACAGATTTAGCAGCCAGCAGAATTTAGAGAAATGCTCCCTTCCTATAATCAGCCTCAGGATATGCTTTCACAATTCTTCCATGTACATGCATCCTAATAGAATGTAAAGATTTACATCTATTGTGATTTAGTCAGAAGATGTAAGATGCACAAAACTGCATACAATGCAGTTAAGGCTGAAGAATCATCTGGGTTCCCAGTCCCATTGAGAAAAGGTCCATCTATCTGGAACATCACACCACTGATCCCAGTCATTGCTTTGGTTATGTTCAGTTGTTCCTCCTTCAGGGATGACAACAGCTTGGCATCCAAACGGAAAGCTCCATTGTTTTGGTGGAAATCTTGCTTCAAGATATTCTTGACCTTTGCAACAATAACAAAACAAAGTCAAAAGTCAAAAACTGGTCATTGCAGTTGTAGATCTGTGCAACTCAACTAGAGTTAGTCAGGGGCAAACCAACAATATCTTTGAAGTCATTCTAGGGGGGGAAGTGTCATGTATTATTAGCACTTGCTACAGATTCTTATTTTTTTTGTGAAAATAATGAAACATGCTTATCTGTTTTCTGGTTTTGTAGATAAATTCCCCAAAAGTGCTTTTAAAGTTGCAATATAAGAGCTGGATGTAGCTCACAGCTGCACCCTCTCTCTCCTTCTCATTGCTGACTGAAGGTAAGCAGTTTATCTGCAACTTAAGGTAAGCAGCCTATCTACAATTTATATATCTTACATCTGCAAATTAGGAGCCACCTATGGCCTCTTAGGAAAGTGGCCTTTGGGTCAGGAAACTTGGGCCTCCGTGTAGTAAAGTTTTCTCTCAAAGTGAGCAGTTTTGATCCCTGCCTTGTTTGATTCTGTAGTAACTCTGTCCTTTCAGAATAACCTAAAGTTGCAACAGTGGTGCTTTATAACCTGATCTAACTGTAATTTACAGATTGGTGCCTGGGTTTACTGCAATTCTCTCTCACCAGCTCAAGCTGTGGGGGCAGAATCTTTCTTTCCATGGACTCATACACGAACAGCAATTGATCCTCTGTTAATTCTAGAAACAAAAATCTGTATGAGAGAAGATTTTTTCAGAAACTGGTGGCAGAAGCAGAAGGCAGGTGACTGTGGAGGGATAAATATCAATGATCTGTTGACATTTCTGTTGGCCTTAAAGAACTATAAGAATTAACTAAAGTCCTCAGTCTTTCTGACCCGAGTTGAACTTACTATCCCATTTTACAGGTGGGGTAACTGAGGAAGAAGTCAGAGATCATGTCTGTGACTACAGCTGGAAACATGATCTAGGAGTCCTGATTTCTGACCTTGTCACTTATTACACTGCCACTCTGCCTGAGGTTCTAGTTCTCATTTCAGATCATCTTGTGATACGCCAGGGTTTCCCAAAAGCTATGTATTATAACGGTGTTGTAAACATGATGTTTTTTGCTGGGTTCTCATAATGTGATGCACAGACTGTTGTTAGGCGGTAGATGCAACATCTTGACAGAATTGTTCACCCAGTCTTAGACAAGACAATAAGGAATTACATGTTTGTTTGTGGTCTCCTTAATTTTTTGTGTCATTCTTGGAGGCATTCTTTAGTATATTTTGGTGCATTTGGGTGCCTCTGTTAGAGTTTCCAGAACTTACCATCTAGGGCATGAGCAACATAGAGAATTGCCCCAGCAAGGTCAAGGAATAAGTCTGTCTCAGTACCCGGTAAACACTGTAACAGGTCTTTCAAGTCTGGATTCTCTGTTTTCACCTGATATGCATCAGGATTGTCAAGAGCCCATTCCAGCTGAAGGACAGAGAAAGAAACCTTACAAGTTAGGAAAAAGGACTACCAGGAGATGCACTGTTCCATTGTGATATGACCTGTTGAAGCAGATATCCACCTGGGTTGATGGATGAAAAGGTTTAGGGGACCGTGGTTTTGCTTAGCTATTTACAGCAGGATAATTTGGGGTTTTAGAGGAGTGTTAATCTAATCGTGCTGCAGTCAGATCCAGGGCATTAAACTAAATGGTCCATTGGCATATTCAGGTGTAGCAATTCTGATGTTTCTTTTAAAAATAAGACTGAAAGAGGCTGAGACAGAAAAGGTTTCCTAACTCAGTGGTTCTTAACTGGGGTGCTGCAAGACTCCCTATGCAGTGGTACTGCAGCATGAGTGTTGCTGTCACTGATGCCACCCTGGCTAGGCAAAAATGCCCTGCATGCTTGGTGCACAGCTGCAGTACCTGCCCGCTCTCCAGCCTCATCAGGGTTCTCCAATAAACCTAAAACAGACAGGAGACTAGCCTGTGCTGTAGCCCTCCCTTGTCTGGTCCTCCTATACTCCCCAGTGGACCCGAGGGGTATAGGACAGTTCAATCTGCCCTGCATGCCTCTGTTTCTAGGAGACACTATGCAGGGTTGGAATGGCAAGGGCTGCAGCTTAAGCCAGCTCTCCTGCCTGCTTTAGGTTTATCTGAAAAACCAAATGAGACAGGATGGTATGTGTGCATGCCACAGCCCTTCTGGGTCTGGCTCTGCAGTGGGTGCACGGGGCATCTTTACCTAGTGGTGGTAGAGGCACCTAGTTGCGAATCACTGTTGTGCTGCCTCAGCTTACCTCGGTGTTTCTCAACTGGGGTTTCACCAAATTTAAATGTTGGGGCATTTTCCTTGCCAGGGCTTAACTGCCCCACTGCATTGTCTTATGTTTATATAGTTTTGGGGCCAAGTAAAAAGTCTGGGTAAAAGGTGTCGGACTTATTTTAACACAGGGCTCAGCTACCTTTCTCTAGCAGCAGACTGCATCTTAGGGTTGCAGCCTTCACTGGAATACGGTGCTGAAAACATGGTGAGTGACAATTTGGGTTGCTACTTGAGCAACAGTAGTAAGCAGGGGCTGCAGTGGTGGTGCAAGAGAATAGCCTTCTACACCGAGCAGAAACTGCTGCAGTGGCAGCAAGGAATCAACCTGCTGTTAGTAAAATATGACATGGATTATGGGGTGAATCAGATGGTTGGGCACAAGCAGGATACCAGCATGCCTGCTGTTAGTAAAATGAGGGCTGGATCAGAACTTTGCAGACAGGATTCAGCCTTCTCCTGGGCTGTATCCAACTGCCACAGGTTTCTGACCTGATTTAGCAGGTGGCTTTGGCATGGGAATTGATTTTGCAGAGTAGATGTCTCTACACCGAACAAACTGGCAACAACAAGATCTTTACCTCAAGCACCAGTTCTTGCAATAAGTCGATGTTTTTTATCACAGTTTTGATGCAGTTAAAAAACTTGGCACTCAGATCTGCAGACAGTGCTGTAAGCACTTTACATTTCTCCTCAACTTCCTTCTGCAGGTCTCCTGTATCTTCTTCTGAGACACCTGAAAGCATAATGGGGCAGTCAGCATTCAGAATTCACCAGTTAGAGAGAGAGAGATGTCTGATCAAGTAGCATTTCAAGTTCAAATACTGAAAAGTTTCCATAATTTTTTGTAGACTCAGGCATAACGGTAGTTTCTCTTCCTCAAAAAACCCTATTAATGTATTCTTGTAAAAGTGGATGTTGCTTCATCTTAGGAAGTGACAAAAGATGTGTTGTAACGTATGTAAGGTTAAGAAATGTCATTATCTGTTAGTTCCATAAGAATGCAATTCTAACTTCTGACAAATTGTTCTGGAGCCTTGCAGGTACTCCAAAAGATTTTAAGAGTTCTTATTATTGCTACAGCTGATTGAGTTTGAGGGTAACAACATGAAAACCATGCATGGACAAGCATGTATCAGATTAAAAGTGCTTATAGCAGCTCCCTGCAAGGTTTACCTGAATAACCATGGTAAAATATTGTGCTCCATCTGAGTGGAGAAGTGATGCCCTTTGAAATAAAACCTGCAGAAAATAGCTAAGTGGTTTGTCTTTAATTTGGCAGCCCACTGTGAATTAAGTGGGTTGTGAACAATCCAGATAGGTATGATCCAGGCTCTGCTCTGCCTTTTTAAATTCACAAATTATCAGTAGTAAATTCTACAGTAACGTTTTGGGAAGTAATGAGTTCTGCTTTAACCAGATGATGAATTAGCCAAAGTATTTCCTATGCAAATCAGCAGAACTCCTGAGACTTAAGTGTGGTGATCAGGGATCTGGGTTTTTCGCTTCCCATGGAAAACAGAGAAAAATGTGGATTTTCCCCTTTACCTGAAGAAAATCGAGATTTATTCATTTTAATGGAGAAACCTGCATATTTTGCACTTTTGCAAAGAGCTCTTTGCAGGTTGGCTGAGTTCTAGCCTGCAAGGAGCTCAGGGGAGCAAGAGTAGGGTGTTCAGGCAGGGGGCATCATGTGCATCTAGGCAGCCTGGTGAGCAGCTCCTGCAGGTAAGTGAGGGTGGGGAATTGAGGCCCCCCATAGGAAGGGAGGAGGGAGTTGGGCAGGACCGAGGCTGGTGCTGGGGCTTAGGGCCCAGGGTCACAAATGTATGGCTGCAGGGCCCAGCTGGGGAGCAAGATGGGACTGTGAGCCCTCATCCAGGGAGTGGGGCGGTGGGGCCAGCTCCCCACCACTGCACGCACTCCTGGTGGGGCAGAGGGAACCCGTGTCCCCCAGATCTGTGTACAGGATGGGGGCGGGCTGCAGGCTCGGGCTCTCCACCCTGCTGCCCACCCCCAGGGCCTCCACAGCCCAGCGGGTGTGACCCAGCAGAGCAGAGCAGGGACATGCAGGGAAGCTCATTGCCACAGAGACCTCTGTGCTGCCCTGGCGAGGCATCCTCTGCCTGCGCAGGAACAGCATGGACAGCAGTGCAGAGTTGTGCCCTTCACTGCTGCTGTACGGGCAGGGTGTGCCTTGTCAGGGCAGCACAGAGCTTGTAGTGGCAATGAGCTTCCCTACGTGGCCCTGCTCTTCCCTGCCATGTTGGGTCACAGCCGCTGGGCTGGACAGGCCCCAGGGGAAGGCAGCAGGGTAGGAGCCTGAGACCACAGTGGGCAGCCTGCCTCCGCCCTGCACACAGATCTGGGGTGCACAGATCCCCCCGGACTCTCCAGGAGTGTGCGCAGTGGCGGGGAACTAGTCCCAAGCCCGCAGCAGGCAGGCAGCGGGTGTGGGGGCAGGAAAGCTGGGCTCTGTGCTCTGCTCTGCTGCAACAGTTGCCGCCTGCGGGCGAGAGTTGGAGAGTTGGGATTTGGGTGCTGCTGAAGGGGGCATGGCACTGTG